AAAATTCCTTGTTGTAAAAATGGTAAGAGTATATAGCACTATGTATGTCACAAATTATGTTAAGAATTTGATTTTTATTTTTTTAACTTTAGCTTATGGTATCAATATATATAGTGCAAGGATACATTAAATCTTTTTAATCTTCTATTTATATATAAGATTTGTTTCCTAAATAGTTTTTTTTTTTTTTTGGACACACTAGAAAATGACACGTGTCATTGCCGGTGTGTCTTTTAGTATATAGTTATTGATACATTTATCTTGTGAAAATCTTGTAATAATGTGCAAGAACTAGCGCGCCTTTTTATTAAAAAAAAAAACCATTTCAACATAAAAATAAAAAAAATAAAAAAAACTGTAAATCTAGTTAAACTCGCTTTTTTCTCACTCTTCCAGTGGCGGATCCAAAAATTTATAAATGGAGTCCAAAATAAACTTCCAACTTAATTATACCAATGACGAACAACAAAATAAGGAAATGCCAAAAATACATCACCGAAAATTACAAATCGTTTTCAATAATACAGCCAAATACATTCATAAGGGGGAAAACAAAGTAAAACATTAAAAAGATAATTACAATTGTTCCCATCGAGTTTTCATTTCTTGGAATCGCTTCATGATATCATCATCATCACTAATTTCAGAAACAAACTAATCAAAATAAAATCAGTCGCATTTGCACAATTGGCAATTGCACAGTATTATAATTAGACAATCATTCAATTTGATGTAAATTAAATCTAAAATCAATCAATTACCTAAGTTAATCACTCACTCAGTCACTCTAGTAGTCTAAATTAGTACTCTAAAGTTAAAATCTACAATCTGAATCAATCAAATTCACAAATTAATTCTACAAAGTACAAATAGACAATAGTTACCACATTCTTGAATCTTGATTAAACACACAATCAATTAAATTATGATGTTGTGAAATTCACACAGCTACACAATTGGTGAAAATTTTCAAAATAAAGGCAAGAAATATCTAAATTTGTACAATAAGGAAAAATTTATATACCTTGTAAATTAATTCAAGTGTAGACTTGGAGAAGTTTGAATGAAGTCAGAAGCCGGTGACGAACTTTACCGGCAACAAAATCAGGTCGGCCGGTGCTATCAAAGTAGGTAGTAGATCTGGGCATTTGAGCAAGTGTTTAAGGCATTTGAGTTGGAGAGAGAAATTTAGATACGGGGTAGTGAATTGCTATTCGTCGCTCCCATTTTACAAAGTGACGCTCCCATTTTAATGTGAAGTTACCGTTTTGCCCTTGTGTGAATTTGGGCTACATAAGGCTCCACCACTTTGTCACATAGTTTCCCGAGCATTTTAATATTATTCCCGAGCACTTTGACCCACCACTTGCCTTACAAAAATCCCGAGCCCACCACCAAAAATATTAATTTTTTTTTTTAAAAATTATCAAGGTTTAGCGACGGATTTTGGACGATGAACGACGACGACGATCGTACACTAGAGGCATCCTTGGAAGAATCTGTAAGTCGTAGAAATTTTTTTTTTTTTTTGAAAAAAGGACATCCGCCCGAAAAATCCGGATCCTCCATTTCATTTAAAAAAATGTTTTTTTTTTGTATTGTTATTGTTATTGTTATTGTTATTGTTATTGTTATTGTTATTGTTATTGTTATTATTATTATTATTATTATTATTATTATTATTATTATTATTATTATTGTTTTAAAAAAATTGTTATTAATATTATAATTAAAATACTAATATTGGAGTATTTTGTTTGTTTTCTTTTATGTTTATAGGATGCAGAATTTGAAGACGGTTGTGACGGTGTGAATTATAGTGCTCATTTTGTGACGGACACGTATTTTCCAACGTTTGAAGATGCAGTGAAATGGGCGGATGCTGTTTCCATAAATCTTGGATTTATTTTGGTTAAGTCGTCGTACAACAAAACTAGAGATGGGAGGCCTTATCATTATTTGAGATGTGATCGGGGACGAAAGAGCAAGTCGAGAGATTTGGAGGGCGCTATTCGAAAGGACACAAAGACCAAAGCTAATGGGTTGTCCTTTCTACATCAAGATATACTACGAGTTTATCACCGATAGTTGGAAGATCCGGGCAAAAAATGATGCAACTAGGACCCATAACCATCCAATGATTGTGTATCAGGAGGGTCATCGTAAAATTAGTGGGTTGAGCCCGGATGCGAAGAAGGTTGTGCGTGACATGACGAAGTCCAAGGTTGCACCACGTAACATCATGGCGACTATTGCAGAGCAATTTCCTGATGATCATCCAAACATTAGACACATTTACAACTGCCGGAATGACTTGAGAACAGAAATGTCTGATGGGACAGGAGTTGTTCAGCAATTTCTTCATTTGGCGACACAGAGTCAGTATCTTTACTCGGTCATGTCTGATGATCTCGGCGTTCTACAGCATAGCCTTTATGGTGCACCTAGTCACGGTAGACATACTACGGACGTACCCACATGTGATCGGTATGGATTCCACTTACAAAACCAACCAATACGGGATGCCGTTCTTTGAGATAGTTGGTGTGTCACCGACAAATCATAATTTCCTTGTCGGTTATGTGTTCATGCGCAACGAGTGCACGACAAGCTATCGATGAGTTTTGCAGAGATTGAGAGAGTTGATTAGGTATGATAAGGAACCGTCGGTATTTTTGACAAACCGTGAGCTTGGGCTATGTGCGGCATTGAGAGAAGTGTTTGCAGGGACCCCACATTTACTTTGTCGATGGCACATTAACAAAGATGTGGAGGCTCGAGTCACTGATATGTTCAAAAACAAGAGGACCGGTGCGAGTTTCAAAAACGGAAAATGGAAGCGTATCATAGACGCTGCAACCGAGGAGGATTATAATGTTGTTGTAGATACAATGAAAGCTCGATGGACAATTTATCCGGCGGTGTTTAGTTATGTTGAGAGAACATGGCTTTGTCATAAAACCAAGTTTGTGACATTTTGGACAAACCAAGTTCTACATTTTGGCAACACTAGCACTTGCAGAGTTGAGAGCCAACATTCGGCCATGAAGATATGGTTTGAATCTTCGACAGGTTCATTGTTTTTATGTTGTAGTTGATGTATGTACTTCGTTTTAGTGATTATAATTATAAATCATAACGGGTTTTTTGTAATGTTGATGAACGGCAGGTTCTTTGGATACCGTATGGGCCCGAGTACATTGCCATACTAGTAATCATATTATTGCAATTCGTAATGGTTTGGAGGCGTCTAGGTCAAAGATTGGTGAGAAGTACCGACAATTGCCACTGTCACGTATCAATGGCAAGGTGTCCCAGCATTGTTTAATAGGTACGATTGGCTATTGTGATTTTCACAAATTTCATCATTTACCGTACTAATAACCGAACATTAATTTTGTGCAGAAGATCCATGTGACGTCAGCCAAAGCCGGTATTGGCACTTGCTTCCAGGACCGATGTTGCCTTACATCACGACATGGAAGGATGTCATTGGCGATGGTAACTGTGGATTTCGTTGTGTGGCCGACTTCTTCTCCGGTGATCAAGTGCAATGGTTTGACGCTCGGGAAACAATAGCAAATGAGGTCGCCACTCATCCATTCCTGTACGAAAGGATTTACGGGATTGGAAGGGTTCAGATGAATGTGGAGCGTATTCGATGGGACGGTGGGGCGGTTGATTCACGTCATTGGATGGTTGCAATTCAAGATTTATTTCCTATTGCTACTTGGTTCAACGCAAGAGTTATTATTCTTGGTGTAGGCACCGTACCAACCTGCTACTACCCATGCCTCACGATCTTACCATTGCGGGCATGAAACACAGTCAGGGCACCCGCACGAGAGTTTGTGATCGCTACAGTTGGGGGGTCACATTTCATCCGTATTGATCTTGAAGAAAATTCACCTCTTCCCTCGATTGCAGGATGGTGGATCGAGCACCACGAGCCAAGTGTCGACGGATGGGATCAATAATATGAATTTAGAAGGAACATGTGGGATGCATTAATTAGGCAGTGAACTCATTTATGTACTTTGACTTAGGTTGAACAGTTGTAGCTATGTAATATAAATCAATAAAAGCAATTAAACAAAGTTTCAGCAAAACCAAATATTAAATAAGTCTCCAGTTCTTAAATTACATGCCGAATACAAAGTACAGTAAAACAATCACTATAAGCTAATATAAAACTAAAAGACAAGTACTTCACAACCCCATCATCGCCTTCCAGTCAGCTATCAGCTGCTCAGTCATTGCCCTTGCTTCACGCGACATGCTGGGATACTCATCTTGTGATCTTCGGTGCATCTCCAAGGACCGACCCATCCACTGCAAATAACAGAACAACATATTAATTACAGAAATTACAATTTGTTTAAGTGGTATTTATAGTATGATAAAACACAACTACTTACATAGTCTGTGTTAGTCCTCTTAGGTAGTCTGGTACTCCCATTTGATGACCCACCAGGAGAAAGACGAGGATGAGAAAATCGGTACAGCCACTGCATGTAACCAGGAGCGACCGTAGGAGCTCCACCACCGAGTCTGGTGAGGGCACCTAAAACAACACTGAAAGACGAGCCAGGGACAAACCCAGTCCATATCACAGATGTCATCTCGGTCGGAAAGTCAACCCGATACATCTTTAATTTCGTCGGTCTCTTGGCCTTCTCAGGCCTAATAATGGTCCGCGGAATGTCTTGCACGAATCCAAGCTATCGGACCACTCGATCAGGCATGTATGGCTCAATGATGCTACGGTACTGGATGCAGCCAATAAATAGAGTGGCTGACACGCGTCGTGCAGGATCAACTCCGTATGGTAGCCAATCAACCTCATTGCTAGTCAGCTGATCCAATCTAGCACGAAAAGCGAGGAGCCGCTCCATGCTCTTGTTGGGGCATCCCGATCCCACATCCCAAGTAGACGCATGAGGAATACTAAGCTCCCTCGTCAAGGTACCCTGCTGAGGCCGGAAGCACGGAAAGTACTCTTAGATCCACGCCTGCAGAAGCGTGAGACAACCAGCGATTGAATCGGCATCTTTTCTTGATGTCGTACCCAACTCGCGATACAGATATGCTAGAGCAGTTGAACCCCAAGAGTACTCATTGATCAAAAGATCATCAACAACAAGCTCGTTGAGGAAGGACGGATGAGTACGGTTACCACTCTTGTCTAAAAACAGACATCCGCCCAGCACTAACCACATGTACGCACCGTAATGGACACTGAAGGGGCTCTGCGCGTCCAAGGTCGAGTTCATAATCCTCTCGGTCAGCACCCCACTACCCTGCCAAATGGTTTTCGTACCGCACTTCTCATTCAGCTCTTCCGCAGTCATATCCAGGGTAATCTGGCATGCGTCCCGTATGACGTCCGTGCTGGGAGAAGTGGAAACCATGGAACCATCAACACGAAGCCCAAGAATATGGTACATATCGTGCAGCATGATCTTAATCTCCCCAAATGGCATATGAAACGTGTTCGTATCTGGCTGCCATCTCTCAACAAACGAAGAAATCAACGGCCAGTCAAAACGCCTAAACATGATCCCAGGTAAGTGAGACAGACCACTACCATCAATCAACTCCAGGTGCTCCTGTGCAAGACGACCTTGCCAGGTAACCAATGCAGAACACAACTGTGTCCTGCTCAAACAGCGCAGAACATTACGCTCCTGCCCGCCCCAAATATATGCAGCCACGTGACCACCAAAACTGGGGATAACAGTACCATCCTCAAGACCACCTGGCATCGGCTGCTGCACTACCCATGTCTCTGCTGAGCTGGTGGAAGGCTGACTCACTTGACTGCTACTAACAAATCTCCCTACCCCTATACACCGTGAGATAATCCTGAGGGTCATACTCTTCATCTCGATCAGCCTGACTTTCCCGCTCTTCATCCTCATCGTCAGATGTAGGCACTCCACCCGACGAGTACATGGGGAGGCTCCCTTGCGGCTAATGCTCCCCCGACCAAGTACCAGGAGACCCATATTGCTGCTCATGATGATATGGTGCCCCCGTATTTACCGAACGACCCAACTCCCTCCTAATAGACGCATTCAAACGTCTTGATATTGCATGACGAGCACCCGAACCATCAATCTACATATAATAAGTACAAAATCAAATATCAGTAATAATTACAAATATAACTATGATATTAAAGTTGAACAACTAATATTCAAATTCAAAAAAATAAACAATATTACAATAATAACAGTATTAATAACAATAACAATAATAATGGTAATAATACTAATAACAACAACAATAATAAGAATATTCCCAACAACGATAATAATAATAACAACAATAATATAATAATAGTAATATTGCTACTAATAATAACAATCCTAACACTAATAACATTACTAATAATAATAATTTTAATCGGTTATTTAAAGAATATTAATCATGAATAAAAAAATATGTTCAGCACGAAAAAATAAAACATAACATTCATCATGAGAAAAAAAAACAACATTCGGAATAATTTTAATGGGTTATTTAAACAATATTAATCACGAAAAAAAACATAACATTAATCATGAGAAAAAAAATTCGGAATAATTTTAATCGATTATTTAAAGAATATTAATCACGAAAAAAAATTGTTAAGCACGAAAAAAAACACATTTATCATGAGAAAAAAAAATTCGGAATAATCACGAAAAAAAAATTGTTAACCACAAAAAAAAAAAACATAACATTAATCATGAGAAAAAAAAAACAAAAAATTCGGAATATTTTTAATCGCTTATTTAAAAAATATTTATCACAACAAATAAAAAAAACATAACATTAATCATGAGAAAATAAAATAAGCACGAAAATCAAAAACCCAAAAAAAAAAAAATACAAATCGGAATTCAGGGATATCCGCCTGAAATTTTCGGATGTTCCTTGGGACATCCGGAAATTTCAGGCGGATGTCCCAAATTTTTTGGATTTTTTTTTAACGAATTAACAAAAGCGCTTCAATTCTCAGCCATACCTGCTCGCCGCCTCCCCCGCCACTGCCACGACCGCTGAAAGTGAGCCTTATTCGCCTTCGATCCGCCATTGGATTACCCTCCTTGGATTGGTGGTGGTTGTTGTTCTTTTTCTTTTTTATTTTCTGTTTTTTTTTTTTTTGAATTTTGAGATTTTTTTTCCCAAATTTTCTGTTTTTAAAATTTTTGAAGAGAATTTCAACTTTTAGAGAGAGAAAATTTTAGAGAGAGAAGTACGAGCGTGAAATGTGTTGTAAGTGTCGTGAGTGAGTGTCGTGAGTATTTATATATGGGGGGCAAAAACGAAATTTCATGAAAAAATGTGAGCGACGGGATGTAATTTGGGAGCAACGTTTAACAACTTTAGGGTTAATTTTTTATTATTTAGTTTTTACTACTTTAAATGTTGACCGTTGAAGTGTTGGGATGAAAAAATTATCAACGGTTAATATTCTTTAAATTAAAGCTAAGACTTAATAAATTAAGAGAATAATTTTTAAATTTTTTTAAAGTATATAAATATTTTTCAGAAATAAATGCAAATTATATCGAGCTTCTCACGAGCTTTTCGAGTCGAGTAGTGGCTTGCTCGACTCGACTCGTTAGAGTCTCGAGTCGAGCTTATTCGAGTCGAGTGTTGACCGAGTAGCTCGCGAGTAGCTCATGAGTTGTCTCGTCTCATAAGCAGCCCTATCCCCAACTAGATTAGTGCCCGTGCGATGCACGATAGTAATAATTTTTTTTTTCTTACACAAGTAATAATCTTTTTCCCATAATTAATTTTGATATAATATAAAAATAAGACAACTCTATGGAATAAACAAATGCAATGCATATAGAAAAATAATAATAAGAAAAAAATTATTAAAGTTACAATTGAGAAAAAAAAATTATTGTTGATTAGTTGTGTTGTAAATATTTAAAAGCAGTATACAATTATATTACGTTAATGATATGCATATTATTCCCAATAAAACTATACAATCTAGTGACTATATGACTAAAGACTTATTTTATAAATGCTCTTTAATAAACATGAAAATATTAATCAAACAACAGAATAAAATCTACAGTAAAACTATTAGCACAACATACATGTAAATATATAAATTACAAATAATATATCACCTTTATATCCAATATAATAATTTCAATAGAAATAAATACTACTCGGACATTAAAGACTATAATAATCCACAATTAGGCAACACTAACCTATATTATTAATAGTACATTTTATGTTTATGAATTGATGCTCTACATGATATCGTCGCTCTTTGTTATTATATAAAATTATGTTTGAAGCTATCCTATAATTATTGTTTGTTTATTGCCTTAAAAGTTTATTAGTAAATGATAGCTATTTATCGAAAAAAAAGGATACACAAGAAGATGTCACTTTTCATTACGTCTGACATATCTTTTAATATGCAACTTATTTATAATGTCGAATGTAATAAATTTATTATATCAATTAAATATTTCAGCAAAAGAGAATAATTTTTTTTGTATTTACTAAGATATTAATTTATTTAATTATGTTATTACAAAAAATTGATTGATAATAGCTGTCGAACACAACATTTATTTCATAATCATAACCACCACACCATTAGTCTAAGAAACAAAATATTAGAAATATTTTTAAAAATTAAAGTGATGTTTTAAAGTAATTTCTATAATATCAATTATATGAATCAATTTTATTATTACTTTTTGGGCAAAATTCAATAATACTCCGTCTAAAAGATGTCCAAACGGTAATGATTGTATCTTGTATCTGAACTAGTGGCTCACTTTTCTATAATTTAAAAAGAGTTGGAATAATATTTTAGGTAAATGTGTATGGAAGAATTATGAACACGAAATAAAAAGAAATACATTTTATGTAAAGATAATACATAAGATTTGGAATAATATTATTATAGTTGTACTATACAAATATTATAAAAATAAAAGATTCTTTGCCAAAAGGGGAGGGGGAGTTTTGGAGGGAAAAAACAGCACCAGGAAGTAACATGTGTCATTTTTTGTGTCTGTTTTAATATTATGTTGTTATTGATTCACGTGAAAAGTTTAGGAGAAATAAAAAGTCATACTTGTCGCTAATGTAGTAATGTAACAGATATATTTGGAATGGGGGTCCAAATTTTTGGGTTTTTTAAAAAAAAAAAAAAAACCTAACTTGGGCTTATGGACCTTTTTTTTTTTTTTTTTACAAAATGGGGATGCAGGTGCTCATCACATGGGCTTAATAGGTTCGCCCCTGCACTCATCCCCTTCCATGGCCTCCATTCAAGCCACAACTCATATCCAACTTTAATGGAGTGTGAAAGCTCATTATTTCAAGCCGCTTTAGTGGAGACAACCTTAACAACCATAATGAAATGAAAATCTTAAGAACAAATGGATAAATTAAGGGCATGGTTAATATCAAAGGATAGGGGTGTCGTCCTTTTCCATTGAAGCAGTTCGTGAACTTCAATTTCTCCATTGAAGCTGTTTCGATTTCAACCGACTGTATTTAAAAATCGTCGACTTCTACCGTATTTCAAATATTTCGAATTCCAAATAATATGCCCTCATATAATACGGGTAAACTACTGAAAAACCCCGAGATAAATAATACGAAAGTACAAATTTATCCTAGTGATTAATTAGTATTTTCTCATTTGCAACGGATGCCACCTAAGTTTCTCAAAATGAAAACCGAAATTTGTTTCTCAAGAAGTCAAATTTGTAAAATATAGATAAAACTCCTATTTCAAATATCCATTTTAGGGTTACAAAAAATGCCTTCAATTGCCATTTGAAAAATGTTTGAGAGACTTGGAATTTTCTCTCCAACGATCCTCCATTTTCGCTCCTCCATCACACTCCATTCCGATCTCCTCTCCTATAGGAGGCAAAAAAAAACCTGACAATAATTCGCAGATTAGGTTTCCATCATTCTCTTCCCTCCTATGCATTGATCAATGATGGCGCTTTCCATGAGAGGTCACTCCGTCTTCATTAGCGACGTTCGTAATTGCCAGAATACAGAGCAAGAAAGTCTTAGGATCGATAAGAAGCTTGGCAATATTCGTACCAAATTCAAAATTGATATGGTTAGGGTTTTCATTTTTAATTTCTTATCGTTTTCGATTTTTCTATCAGATTATAGGCAGTTATTTAATGATTTTGATGTGTAATGCTGTTCAATTTGGTGTGTAAATTTCAAAATTTGAGCTCAATTTGGGGATTCTTGTTGCAATTCTTATTTGTACAACAGTGAGTTGTCAATTTTGTTAAGGCATTGATTCTTGATCTTGGTTGTTCATCTTTCGTTTATTCTTGGTGATGTCTGAACAATGGAAATGTTTGGGGAAACTAGAATGTTTTAAGTTGGGCCGTGGATTGATTATTATAGGGGAAGTTGTGAATTTTTCATTGCAAATGCAAACTTATTATGAAATTGGAAATCAAATTGTATAGGTTTTGTATAATGGTTGTATTTCCAATTGAATTTGAGCTTAATTTTTTTGTACAATTCCATCATATTTTGAATATTGTTGGCAAACTTGATTTTGTGTGGTTCCAATCTGTTTATGATGGTGATCAATTAATGGGGTTTCGGGCCGGAACAGGGTTTTGCTATGGCGTCTGTAACATACATTTGACTAGGTAATAATGTACCCAATTCACAATCAATGACAGTGTAACCGGGATTCTTATGCTTTTTTGAGCACACGCTGCCAAGCCAGGTTTCCATTAGTAAAAACTTTCAATCAAAATGCTCCACTGGGAAATGGTGAGATTATGTTAAACACCTTCAAGACTCATTTTGACAAGCTTTATATACTGATTTGATAAACTTTGTTGGAGTTAACATTGTTTCTTAATTGGTAGCGTTACCATTGTCCAACAGATGTGAATATATCGACCTCCACAATGTGCTTGTGCCTTATGGTGAGGCGTGGGCGTTGCAGAAGGCCATTGTTAAAGAAAAAAAATATTTGATTGAGAGGAACGAAGAGTGCCCGGATACTCTAATTATGCTGCAACATCCTCCTGTGTATACTCTGGGCACTGGTAGCTCTGAGGAGTTCTTGAAATTTAATTGGAAAGATTCCCTTCATGATGTTATTAGAACTGAACGCGGTGGTGAAGTTACCTATCACGGACCTGGACAGGTACATTTTCTTCTTTAATATACTGAATATGTCTCTTTTCTTTTACCTTTTCTTGTATCATTTCTTTTATTGCTGAAATTTATCTTGTGCTATGTTTTGAATTTAATTCATTTCTGAAAATGATTATGCATCTATTTTCTGCTTGTTTGAATTACATTACCAAGATTCCTTCCTTGGGCTAAAAATAATGTTAATATCTCTGTTAAGAGATCACATGAAAGTCCGAAAAGTACTTGAAATCAGACTTAAGAATGTGCAGATTTCTGCATGTATGGTTGCAATATTTAAATAAATTTTTATTTGAAGTTCGGCACAATAGATGTATCTAGTACTTATTTCTTTTGTAATTACTATCTGAATTCAAATCATCCCTGTCGCTATTCTAACTCTTTCATCTTTAATGTAGTTGGTTATGTACCCTATTATCAATCTTCGAAATCACAACAAGGATCTACATTGGTACCTTAGGGCTCTTGAGGAGGTGGTGATTCGTGCTCTTTTCTCAACTTTTTCAATTGAGGCTTCTCGACTTAAGGGCTTTACTGGTGTTTGGGTTGGTATGAATCGTATCCTCTAAACTGATTCACCTTATTGTCCAGGTCATTCATCAATAGGGTGCATCTGTGTGGCTGTGCTTGATAATGGCGGTTAATAATGTTGTAGTCAAAGTTTGGATCTTGATAAGATAAATGAAATGGACATTTGGCTTTTACAATGCATAATAGTTCATCATTTTAGTCTAGTCTATTTAAAGACCTTGCAATCATCTACTATGAGCATAGCTTCATATTTACAAGTCGATTTTTCTGGAATTTTTGTATAGTTACTTAAAATATAGATACCATTGTCTAGTTGTCCCCTAACTATATGTTCTTGTCACTGAAAAACTCCTTTCCGTACATTTGTAAACAGAGGGAGCAATATCATTTTTGTCAGATGGTCTTCAGTCTCCATGTTACCTATAGAAATCCTCTTTAATCTGCAGTTTCACATCAAATGCAGGAAACCAGAAGCTGTCAGCGATTGGGATACGGGTATCTCAATGGATAGCATACCATGGACTAGCACTGAATGTTTCTGTAGACCTGACACCCTTCCAACAGATTGTACCTTGTGGAATACGAGACCGTGAAGTTGGAAGCATCAAGCAACTACTTGGAGAAGTCCAAGCATCCCATCATGAATCAAACGTAGATCAACTCGGTACTGATGATTCTGTACTAATTGACATGGCCCAGAAATCACTGGTTCAGGAATTTTCTGAGGTTTTTCAACTTAAACTTGAGCAAGTATCCTGGCCAGCATCATATCTTTAGAGAAAGTAAAATCCTTTGAGTTATGTGTGAGTGTGCAGTACAAATTGGTCGATCAGAAGGATTTTTCCGTTGTGTCCTCAAAAGTCACAAATTCAGTACCAGCGCTCCTATTTATGTAGTAATTTGATATTGGCATTCAGCATTAGCAAAGCAAAAACTTGTTACAGGGATACGGTTTTGTAGGATACTAGCAAGTTTTCTCACTCTTTATTTATTTATTTATATATTTATTTATTTCTGGGTAGGGGGTTGTAACATCACTTGAACAATTTACATCAGACATTACTGTAAAGAGAGATTTCACTAAACTAGATGTACTGTTATATTCCTCCATGCTTTATACTCGAGTTAGTTGAGTACTTGACTGATCCCTGCCAAGTTTAAAAGTAAGCAATTCCAAGAAATGATCGTTGGGCAACCGGGAGGGGCTTCAGGGATTTGAATTGAATTTTAAGATAATAATATCATTTGAACACACTCCTTGCAGGAAATGATACGATTATAGGAACTTGACCTCCATCATAGAACAATTCGTGCATTTTAATCAAAATGCCTGGGAAGAGGGAGTACCACCCAAACTCTGGCCTATGTTTTTTCATCTCAAACTAGCAAAATAAGCTACTTCTACAGAGGATTCAATCTCTGGCACCAAAGTCGAATTGGTAAGTTCCTCAATGACCACCCATACAAGAGATTCAAGTCTCTTTATTTTATGTGCCCCAATTTGACTTTTACATTGTTCACATACATTCCTTTGATCAATGTTTGTGCTATAAGATTAAACATAGTACTCATGTGAGTACTTGTTAGAGTCACCGTAATTTTTAAATACTTGTACAGTATAATTTATACATGTCATTTTTTATTTATAAAAAAAGATACGTATCATTGGTTAAATTTCTGCCATTTGTACTACTCAAATTGAGTCACGTAAAAAGAACAAAAAGAGCACTTAACATACTCTATAAAATTTAGAGTATGTTGTCTTCTCCTAAATTTATTCGGATTAACATTAATAATATTCATATATTTTGGATTATCGTACATGGTTATTCTACTGAAATCTAAAGCACACATGCATTTAGGATGGAAAGTGTTAGTTGTTACTCATCTATCACTTGGCTAAGGTTGTCTAAATTATTCCTGCAAGAGAAAGAAGCTAAAACTTCCAGCTAGGTTCACAAAAAGAAATAAACTTCCAGCTAAGTTTCTAAATTTCTACCAAAAATTTAGAATCTTCCAGCTAGAAAATGATCATAATATATCAATTGATAAAATTATAACAAAACCATCATTAGAAAATAATTTTAAAATCCTTACAGAAACTAATAACACAAATTTGACGTTAAATGAAAAATAATTCAAGTACTCCACATTTGACGGAGCTCTTTTGTCTCATACACGCACTTAAAACCCGAAAATTGGCTTTGGTGATTGGGTGACTTGGGTCCATTTTGAATACAAACAACGAACTTAAGATGGTACCAATAAGTGTGCTTTGTAATCGATATTAAATTTATGCTTATTCGCATCTATACTAAGTATCATCTAACCACTTTAAAAATAACTATAGTAACAACACATATCTAGAAATTTATACATAAAATTTATGGGCCAAACTTCAAAAAAAAATTTAATATAAAAATAAGTAGTTTAATCTATGATTTTAGTACAAAACAGTAATTTAGGAAACATTAAACCTAAATACAATAGCAATAACTTCTCTTATGATGTAAGTTAGTATTAAGGCTAAACTGCTAAAGAAAGAAGCTTAGCCTTAAACCCTTAACCAACTACAACATTAATTTTCTATCCTTATAATAATCTATACATACCCACACCCTTCCCATCCCTAAAATCACTATTTCATTCAAAACAAAATCGGAAACAAAAGGTACGTAATAACTAAAGACTTTGGTTATCATGGCTAGCATGAAACTAGTATTCTTTTTTGTTCTTGCTCGTTGTTCTTCCTTTCCTCTCCGTCTCCATGCGCTCTCGATCTCTCGAAAAATACCGAAAGTAGAGGCGATTTATCAGTTTGGTGATTCAATATCCGACATCGGTAACTTGATACGCGAATCCCCCGTTGGAGAGCATACAACCTTTGCAAGACTTCCTTATGGACAAACTTTCTTCCATAAGCCAACTGGTCGTTGCTCCAATGGTCTTCTCATGATTGACTATTTTGGTATGTAACTTTGTTGATAGATCTACTAATCACGCACCTTTTACGTGTATTTATAATCTTTAACATGTTTATCTTATGGTTTCTCCATTGTTTTCAAAATGATCGCAATTATTTGTGTACTGTATCAAGCATTGACCTCACATTTTATACTCTCTCCGTCTCATAATATTAGTTCCAAATTTCCTATTTCAGAGAGTCGAAATATTATTCCTATTTCTATTTTTGGATAGTATGTAAAGACTATTATACCCTTATTTTTTTAACTTTATTCATTATACTTCCTATATTACCCTTGAATTTTGCACATGCCTTGTATTTTTTTTTCTTTCCCTCTTTAACTTTTGTCTAAAATTGTACTTTTCACTTTTATTGATGTATTTCATCCAATTTCTCCTCCTATTTCTTAAATATCGTGAAAAAATACAAATAGGAACTATATTATGGAACGAAGGGAGTAGAAGATATATAAACAAATGTTGTTGAATTACTTGTGTGAACCCGTGTGAAACTATAATGGTTATAGGCCTTATAGCTATATAGAAACAAATGAAGTATACGTGCTTATCATCAATAAAATTCTACGTAGTAAGAATATAGACAATTATGTTGGGGAATTTAGTGGTAACAAGAGTCACAAAGAAAAGCAAACGAAATTAAATGAGAATTTTTCGAGGCATGAACGGGATCACTTTCCCAAAAGTATAATTCCGACCCTATGCTACAACTGGGTATCATGGAAATTTACTCAAAAGATACAACGAAGGTCAATTGCAATCACGAATAGGATGATTACAAAACAATGTAAATAAGCGTTTGTGATTTGTGATGATGATAATTGAAGAACTTTACAAACAAGAGAATAAAAATGAAAGTTACTGTCCTCTATTTTATTCTCTAACTTCATCATATATATATAAAATATAATTAAAAGCAAAAACCATCAACTTAACCGTCAAAAACAATGCAACCTCAACCCAGAAAGTGGTCGGGCCCGATCGGGCGAGTATATTCTTCAGAAAACGCAAGCACTCGGGCCCGATCGAACGACGAGGCTTCCATTCCCAGTTCATCATGCGGGCCCGGTCGAACCGTGGTGGCCCGGTCGGGCGGTGATACAGCGAAATAAATATTATTATTTATAACTCATAATCAATTGATCGGGCGAGTTCCACCATTTTTATTTGCTTCATATTAACAGAGGAATTAGGAATAAGATCAAGCACCATCATTCTTTTAATAGAAGTTAAATTTACATGTCCAAGTCTACCAGCATGTCAAGTATCACACATTCAACAAATTGATGAAGTAGAATTGATAGAGATATTATTCACAGAACTTTGCATAAGATTAAGCTTAAATAAACCATTTTATACTTGCTGCACTAATAAAAAAGCACTAATAAGATTTTTTTCTAATATCAGAGACTCCTTTTAATTTCATATCATATACTTTCAAACTCATGATTTCGGTCAGCATTTGATTTTTGATCAATCATTTTTTCACAAGAATAACACTTAAGACCCTTTTCAGCCGAACCAAATATTAAATAGTCTAGTTCTTTTTTTTTTTTTAAACAACTGAACACATTTAAACAGCTACTACGTTCTGTAACACATTAATAATTAGGCCTTGCATATTTAATAATTGCACTCGATAGTTCTACCTTTCATAAAATAGTTTATTGATATACAGTACTTCAGTACGTATGACTTGTATATTTTTCTGTTGTATATATTGCAGCTAAATACTTCAAGTTGCCCTTTCTTGATGCGTATCTTAATGAAGCTGGTAACTTCTCTCATGGTGTGAACTTTGCTGTTGCGGGATCGACGGCTCTTGACACTTCAACCTTAGCTGCTAAAAAAATTAGATCACCCTTCACTAATAGTTCATTATCTGTTCAAATGCTTTGGTTTAGGTCTCACCTACTTTCACACTGCCCTAATTCAAAAGGTAATTAAAAAGTATATCATTTAGACCTCAATTTGATCATACTACTTGTACTAAAAATAATAATATTATGTAGAATATAATATTACTTGTATTGGATTTGTTTTAGCCTAATTTTTAAATCAATTTTAGTAATAAATAGTTAAAGATATTAATCTTCAAGAATCAAGATAATTTGTTATTTGTTCTTTCTATTCATATATATATATGCAGATTGTAAGGCCACACTCGCAAATGCACTGTTTATCATTGAAACCGGAGGCAACGACTTTAACAACGCATTGTTGGGTAGAAAAACAAATTGAAGAAGTTCAACAAATGGTGGATGAAGTAATTCAAGCCATTACTACTGCCGTGAAGGTCAATATTTTTCTACTGTATTACTTATTGTACTTAATTGTTCATAATATAACAAATATGTTAATTACTAATTAAGTACAATGGATACATATAATATGCAGGAATTAATTAGTTTTGGTGCCTCTAAAGTTGTAGTTCCTGGAAACTTTGCAATTGGTTGCATGCCTATTTATCTTAGCACTTTCAAGACGAGTGACTCGAATATGTACGACGAGCTCCAATGTATAAAGGGTCTAAATGGATTTGCAACATTTCAAAACGATCGATTACAAGTAGCTATTAAGGAGCTTCAAACACAGTATCCGAATGTTGCAATTGTCTATGCCGATTATTTCAATGCATTGAAGGGACTCCTTCAAAATGCTGCATCAAATGGTTAGATTTTTGCCACTTTTTCATGTTTGATCTTGAAACCAATAATTATAGGACTAATATAAATAATTATTGACGTGTAGGGTTTGAAAGGGATGAAGTACAAAAGTCATGTTGTGGAATTGGTAACAATGACTACAATTTTAACATAACTCGAATGTGTGGAAACGACGGAGTTCCAGTCTGTCGTGATCCGTATAAGCGAATAAGTTGGGATGGAGTTCATATGACTCAACATGCCTATAGAGTCATGGCAAAGGAGTTATTCAAGCAAATTGTTCGAGACATCTCTTATCAAGCTTATTTCTTCCGTTAGTGCGTCTCAGTTACTACTCATGTATACTTTGTAGTTGTATTTTTACGTATTGTTAGGGTCCGATGACAATGGGTTGGCTTTGAATCGGATTATGCACCATCCAATTCCAATCCTACAAGCTC